GTTATCATGAATCCTCAAAAGATGAGTTGGCGACTTTGGTGACTTGGGAAAGGAAGGAAGGGAGGAATGAATTAGAGGCATGTGGAGGTTGATGACTAGGAATTGGAAGCATGTGCTTGAAGGCACATGGAGGGAGGAATATTGGAGGAGGTAGATGACTTGGATAATATTTGGTGAGTAAGGAAAGAAAGCACATGGAAAATCATGAGGAGTCATGTGCCTTGTGGTGGGACTTGGAGGTGAATAGAAAAAGTTGTTGAAGTCTTAGTTGAGTTGGATTAGGAATGGCTATGGTGGTTGGGAGAAACTAAAGAGGTGGTTGATAGGCTTGAGTTGGAGTGGATGAGTTGGAAAAGGAAGTTTGTAACTTGGGTGGTTGGAATGGGCTTTGGAGGAGTTGAGTGGTTTGGATGGGTTCTTAGGAAAATGTGTCGAGGGTGTTTTGAGGGGAAGGGGTTGGAGTGGTACAGTAGCGTGGCACGTGAAGAGCGTGCCATTCACAACATCATCTCCTCCTCTGTTTCGTTCCGCAAGCTTTCTGCTCGCGACTTGCTCAATCAATCATTCCTGTAAGCCAAGTAAAGAACAGAAGTTACCATCACTTGAGTTCATTCTTCATCACTGGAAGATCAAGACCCTTGTGTGGACCTTCATCCCGTGTGGGCCTTCTTCATCCCGTGTGGGCCTTCTTCATCCCGTGTGGGCCTTCATCTCGTGTGGGCCTTCTTCATCCCGTGTGGGCCTTCTTCATCCCGTGTGGGCCTTCTTCATCCCGTGTGGGCCTTCTTCATCTCGTGTGAGCCTTCTTCATCCCGTGTGGGCCTTCATCCCGTGTGGGCCTTCATCATCCCGTGTGGGCCTTCATCCCGTGTGGGCCTTCTTCATCCCGTGTGGGCCTTCTTCATCCCGTGTGTGCCTTCATCCCGTGTGGGCCTTCTTCATCCCGTGTGGGCCTTCTTCATCCCGTGTGGGCCTTCTTCATCCCGTGTGGGCCTTCTTCATCCCGTGTGGGCCTTCTTCATCTCGTGTGAGCCTTCTTCATCCCGTGTGGGCCTTCATACCGTGTGGGCCTTCTTCATCCCGTGTGGGCCTTCTTCATCCCGTGTGGGCCTTCATCCCGTGTGGGCCTTCTTCATCCCGTGTGGTGCTTCTTCATCCCGTGTGGGCCTTCTTCATCCCGTGTGGGCCTTCTTCATCTCGTGTGAGCCTTCTTCATCCCGTGTGGGCCTTCATCCCGTGTGGGCCTTCTTCATCCCGTGTGGGCCTTCTTCATCCCGTGTGGGACTTCATCCCGTGTGGGCCTTCACCCCGTGTGGGCCTTCTTCATCTCGTGTGGGCCTTCATCCCGTGTGGGCCTTCTTCATCCCATGTGGGCCTTCTTCAACCCGTGTGGCCTTCAACCCGTGTGGTCTTCAATCAACACTCCCCCCGTGTAATCTTCAATCAAAACTCTCGTGGAGGTAAGTTCAGTTTACCTCGTTCCTTCTCGCTTTAACGTCGTCACCTCGCTTCAGCTCATCTCGCCGCTCATCTCGGTACGTTCAGTGTTCCCTTCTTCTCGCTCACGCATTGCGACGGCGAGGCGACCTTGACGCTTCACACGGCGGCGCCGATGGCAGCTTGATGGTTTGACAGTCGCTAGTGGAGCTTCTGTTTCAGCTTGGTAAGGCACCCGCTTTAATGATCTTCGTCGCATTAATGATCTTCGTCGCTTTATTGTTCTTCGTCGCTTTAATGTTCCTCGTTTTGTTGATCTTTATATCTAAGTTTTAGCTAACCTTGTAAGTTGATACATGCAGTAAGCGAAGCGGCCCGTTGGTGGAGCTTCACTCGGCGATTGACGGTGCTTCCGGCGCTTCCGCGATTGACGGCGCTTCCGTTGTGCGGCGTCGCATGGCGGTTGGCGACGCTTCTCCCGTCGCGCGGCGCTTCGTGCGGCTCTCGGCGACGCGTCTCGTCGCATGGCGGCAGTTCTCATTTTCGTCGTCGTTTTTCTCGTTCTTGTTGTTTTCTGTTTCGCTTTGTTATCTTTCGGATCTGACCGTGCTCGTTGCTTCATGCAGTTAGTGAAGGGCCCGTTTTGGAACTTCGCACGGCAACTGGCGGCGTTTCTTCTTCCGTGGAGCGGCCATTGGCGCGGCTCTTGGCGACGCCTCTCCCACCGCACGGCGATTGGCACGGCGCTACGCTCGGCGGTTGGCGACGCTTCTCCCGTCGCTCGGCGGTTGGCGACGCTTCTCCCGTCGCTCGGCGGTTGGCGACGCTTCTCTCGTCGCTCGGCGGTTGGCGACGCTTCTCTCGTCGCGCGGCGCTTCGTGCGGCTCTCGGCGACGCGACTCGTCGCATGGCGGCACTTCTCTTTTTCGTCGTGGTTTTTTCTCGTTTTTGTTGTTTTCTGTTTCGCTTTGTTATCTTTCGGATCTGACCGTGCTCATTGCTTCATGCAGTTAGTGAAGGGCCCGTTTTGGAGCTTCTCACGGCGACTGGTGGCGTTTCTTCTTCCGTGGAGCGGCCATTGGCGCGGCTCTTGGCGACGCCTCTCCCCGCACGGCGATTGGCACGGCGCTTCGCTCGGCGGTTGGCGACGCTTCTCCCGTCGCTCGGCGGTTGGCGACGCTTCTCTCGTCGCTCGGCGGTTGGCGACGCTTCTCTCGTCGCGCGGCGCTTCGAGCGGCTCTCGGCGACGCGTCTCGTCGCATGGCGACACTTCTCTTTTTCGTCGTCGTTTTTTTCTCGTTTATTGTTGTTTTCTGTTTCGCTTTGTTATCTTATGGTTCTGACCGTAAGGCGAGTTACCTGCAGCTAGTGTAGCGGCATGTTTGGCACGGCGCTTCGCTCGGACGCTTCTCTCGTCGCTCGGCGGTTGGCGACCCTTCTCTCGTCGCGCGGCCCTTCGCACGGCGGTTGGCGGCACTTCTTCAACCACCCTCCCTGGTAAGGTGTTCTTTCAATTTTACTTGAAACGTTTCTTCAAATTCACTAACAGTTTATGTTTACCCTTGTAGCAGGAGCAGTAGCGGGAGCGGGAACGGCAGCAACTCTTATCATGGTAAGTTGTCGTTTCAGTTATGATTGTTTTTTCATTGCTTCATTCTAACATTCTCTGCTTGCCCATGTAGCAGGAACAGGAGCACGAACGGGAGCGGGAGCGGGAACGGCAGCAACCTACCATCATGGTGAGGTGTCGTTTCAGTTATGATGTTTTTTTCAATACTTTATACTAACTTTCTCTGCTTGCCCTTGTAGCAGGAGCAGGAGCAGGAACGGGAGCTCAAGCGAGAACGGGGACGGCGTCAACAACTTTTTAAGGTGAGGTGTCGTTTCAGTTTTTGTGGTTTTTTTACTTCACTCTTACTAACTCATTCCGTTTGCCCTTGTAGCAGGATCCGCGAGGAGCAGAGGAACGACGGCGGCGCGACGGTGGCGCAGAGCGACGGCGGAACGACGGTGGCGCGGAGCGACGGCGGTGCGTCGGAGCAGAAAGGCGGCGGCGCGGCGGTGGAGCGGATCGGCGGATCGGCGGACATCGGAGTAAAGCAGCGGCGGAGCTGCGCTGGAGTTTGACTCCTTCCCCATCCCCACTCCTCCGTTCCCCCTCCCTTTGTCAGGCACTCGGGAGGAATCAGCTAGGACGATTAGGAGCGTTAGATTAAGGGAGCTAGTGGGGGGGGTGGGTGGGTTGCGTTTACCTCCTCCTCCTCTTCCCTCTCCTCAACGGCCGTTCTTCCTGAGGCGTCGTTCTCCTTGCTCTCATCTCAAATTAATCGTCCCTCTTTTTCCGAAATTATCGTCCCTCCCCTCCCAAACAGGGTCCCGAACGAATGGCCCTCACCTCAACGCGGTGTTCGGGTGTAACGCTAGAGGCATTTGCCTCTAGCGGCCAAGAAGGGTCAACGGTAAGTGGAAGATGAAGCGGCGGCGGATCTGCGGAGGAAAGAGTTCAACACTTGGCGATGTTCAAGCAGCATTGTTCAAGCGGCGGCGGGTCTGCGGAAAAAGTGGTTTAACACTTGGCGATGTTCAAGCGGCGGCGATTCAACACTTGTGTGTCAGAATGCTGGGAGAGCTGAAGTCGCGGTCAACGGTGGAGCCGCGAGATGAAGTTGGTGGCAGCTGAAATGTGTACAGTGTGGCAGTACAATGAACACTTTTCATCTTCAGCTTAGAGTTTCTGTTTAGTTTTAGTTTGGTTTGCAAACGAGGCTTTTGAGGGCGCGTATGGCTGGTGGATGGGGCTTGTGAGCATACTACATAGGTTTGGAGATGGGCAGGAGGAGTAACTTTCTAGGAGGAAGCTGACATGGCAGTTGTTGCTTGTTAGGTTTGCGTAAGGTGCGGAGTGGTGTAGTAACTGGTCGATAATTTTTCCCTGCTGAGGTGTCACGAAGTTTAGCTGTTCTCACAGCTTGTGAACAAGGTTCAGGCAGCTAAAATAGCAAGGAGGCGTTAGGGTAGGATTTGTAAGAAATTCTTTAAGCCAATAGGATTCGAGGGTGTTTTTGTCACCGACTCACAACCACCATTCAATATCAATCCACTCACACCTACATCGCTCAGTTCCCGAAACACATCTCATCGTCCTATCTCTAGGTCCTTAGTCCTCGTCATCTATGTCTTCAGTCCTCGTTAGATCTAATCACTAAGCTCTTTACTGTCGCTTCTTGCCTCACATCGCGCATGGCTGCTCGGATCTAAGCGCAAATATAGTCCTAGCGCCGTAGATGGTGTCAGTCGCGGTTGTTACCCGAAGTTTAATATGAACGCCTCAGTATAAGCAAGTACCGTTAGTAGCCTATTACGATTCATGTTCAGCTCATAGATTACGGCCTGCGAAGTAACTTTCATTTCTGAACGGATTGACAACGTCGATTTGCGGACACTTTAATGCCGTTTGCGGACATAGCAATACCATTTGCGGACACATTACTGGCATCGATTTGCGGACGCAGATCTGTAAGCTCGTAGCATGCGGACGTGGTAGCCGTCGGTACGCGCATTCGATGTCATTAGGTTATTACGGACCGTTACCGCGCAAGACGGTAAAACAAGGAAAAGGTGAGCTGTGAGGGAGTGTGCGGGGTGGGGGGGGGAGGGAGGAGAGGGGGGGTGGCTGGATGTGGTTGGGAGTGGCGGGGTGTGGTTGGGTGGGGAGGGCATTCCACATTTCCTCCCGCTCCCTCCTCGTTTCCCCGGCTCGCCTTCCATCTGTTTCTGCTCTTCCCTCAGTTCTTCATCTACTTACCCCTCACCCCTCAGCACCCCTCTGCTCTTCCCTCAGTTCTTCATCTACTTACCCCTCACCCCTCAGCACCCCTCTGCTCTTCCCTCAGTTCTCCCCGCTCTCCCCTCTTCGCCCCTCCTCCCTCCCCGCTTTCATATCTTTTCGCGCACCGCTCAGGTCTTCTCTTCCCTTCGCTGAATTCGCCCCGCTCTCCTCTCGTCCCCACCCCGCTGTCAGCTCATCACCCCTCCGCTCTCCTCATTTCCCTCCCCTCATTTCCCCTTCACCTCCCACCTCATTACCCCCTTCACTCATCCCTCTTTCCCCCTGCTCTTTCCGCATCTCCCCCAGCTCTTTCCGCATCTCCCCCAGCTCTTTCCGCATCTCCCCCAGCTCTTTCCGCATCTCCCCGTCCCCCCACCTCACACCCCATCTCGCCCTCCCCCACCCTTTCAACCATTCAACCGTGGTCTCTCCCTCCACCCCCCCCCCCCCCCCCCCCTTTCCCTCCTCTCTCCCCTCCTCACCCCTCCTTTCCTTCCAACACTCCTTCGGGCACAGAAGGAGCCGCCAAAGTAAGTAGGCATAAAGTAAGTATCTCTAGCTTCAATGTCGCCACTGTCGTGCTTCGGATGTTTGTACCGTAGCCAGTCGTACGATTTATGTTCGTTCGTTTGCGCACGGATTACTACCGTCAACATCTGTGCGTTCGCGGACACACAGATGTGTAAACACATTATCGATTCGCGGACATATTTCCAGTTCCGATTTGCGGACATTGCGGACACGTCAACATCTTCGGTGCCTGCCTATTCGTTGTCCTTAGAAGATCAAGAGAAGTCACATTGAACCGGTCTGAACCGGACGGTTATGACGCAAGACGTAAAAAACGGTAAGGAGAACAGTAAGGAGGTTTGGGGGGCGAGGGGGAGAAGGGGGGAGCGGGGGGAAGGGGGAGGGGGGAGGGGAGAAAAGAGGGGAGGTGGCGGGATTTTGGCAGGGTTTAGTTGGGTGGGGAGGGTATTTTTCATCTTCTTCCACTCTCACCTCGTTCCCCCTGCTCGTCCGCTCCGTCCCCATCTCCTTACCGCTCACCCCTCATGTCTTCTCTGTTCGTTCAATTCTCCCCATCTTCCCCCTCCCTCCCCCCCCCCTCCCCCCTCCCCGCTCTTTTCCCTGCTTTCATCTCATCTCCTTACCACTCACCCCTCATGTCTCCTCTGTTCTTCACTCAATTCTCCCCATCTCCCCTCCCCATCCCCCTCCCCACTCTTTTTCCCGCTTTCATTGCATATCCTTACTGCTTACACCTCATCTCCCCTTCGCTCAATGCCCCTCGTTTCCTCCCCCCCCCCCCCCCCCCCCCCCCTTTCCCTCCCCACTTTTGTCGCATCTTGTTACCGAATCCCTCATCTCCCCTCTGCTCATTGCTCTATTCTCCCCGATCTCCCCTCGTCCCCACCCCGCTGCCAGCTCATCACTCCACTCTCCTCTCATCTCCCCTCCCCCCTCCCCCCCCCCCCCCCCCCTCTTCCCCATTCACCCCTGATTTCTTTTCTTTCCCTTTTTTCTCCACCTCCCACTGCTGCATTCCCCCCTTCACTCGTCCCTCATTTTTCCCTAGCTCTCCACATCCCCCCCCCACTCACCCCTCATCTTCCCTCCGCTCTCCCTGCATCTCGCCACTTCACCCCTCACCCCCCTTTCTCTCACCCCTCATCTCTCCCTCCCCATGGCCTGAACAGAAAAATACTCAGCCCAAGCACTTCAGAAAACAAATCCCCGTGTCGCAACACAACGTTCAACTGTGCTTGCTTCAGTAACAGTTCCATCAATCGTCCAATCTTAGCCATCGGATCGCGCCGCCGCCGATTTTCAGCCGTCACAGTCTGTGTGACTGACAGTCTTGGGATTACGCAAAGCAGTGCATGTGCCTGCGTCATTGCTGCTACCTGATAATATGTACATTGGCAAATTACTTGATGTTTATAATATGTACCTTGGCTTCATACTGGGTGTCTAGCTTTGCTGAAATCTTGTGCGGAGAAACAGGCTTACAACAACAAACCTTATGCGTGCGGAAATTTCAACGGGCATGACAAACTAGGCAAGTGCTGGTCGGTCACAAGAGATTCAATGGTCCAACCAAGGTAAATAGATAATGAATGCGAATCAGGGTCTATTTATAGAACACCACCAGTGTCTATCTACCCTGGGAAAGATCACCAGCTGCACTACCATGGAAATGAACACTGTCCATACCAACAGGGAAGGAGAGACACCTCTTCTGTGTCTTCTCCTGATCTGAATCCTCCTCCCCATCTGTTTCCTTCCTCTCCATGTATGGGTATGCCGGCGCTGCATGCACGTGAGTGCTGACCACTATGACCATGGGGGATGCCACCATGGGGGATGCCACTATCAGATCACAACCATGGAGGAGAGAACTGTTGGTACCATGGAAGCATTGAATCCTCTACTCTGCCTTCCTTCGATCTGAATCCTTCTTTTCCACGTACGGGTATGCAGCATGCATCTGGGTGCTCGCCACTACCATGGGGAACGCCACCCACACGAGAAGAGGGGGAGGCTCGCCTTCTAGGAGAAGCTGAGCTGCTGCCGTCACCAGCAGCGCTATTATCATCACACCCTGGTGATTGGGGGGGATTAAGGAAGGGGAGTAAGGGTATGCAACACGCACGTGAGAGCTAGCCACTACCATGGGAAGGCCACCCACACCAACCGAGGGGGGGGCTCGCCTTCCAGGAGAAGCTGAGCTGCTGCCGTCACCAGCAGTGCTGTTATCATCACGAAACCCTGGCACATGGAGGAAGGGAAGAATGGGGGTGCGGGAAACGGATTGAGGGGGGAGAGAAGTTTTGAGAGGTCTCAAAACTGTCATGCGCAACGCTATGTTTATCCCAAAATCACCTAGTCTTACATACCTTCTTGAGTCCCCCTGACACCTGCACCACCACCCCCACGAGGATGCCTGCCAGTGCGTTGGTCAATATGGGCACCTGCACATGAGAGACGCGAGGAGTAGAACTTGACTCATATGAATGGCACCGAGTGTGGGTAAACGAAGCACAGAACAAAGAGGAGGAAAGGATATCGGACTAAAGACATGCACATAGCCTGGACCTGAAGGAGAACACGAGCATGTGGAGCAGGAGCAGGAGCAAGAGCAAGAGCGGTAGCCTGGTATGGGACAGGCTTCGTGAGAATATGGAGACATTGGAGAGTGGGAATGAGCTGCGGGTAGCACACGCCATGGGCCACGCCACGTACTGTGGAGAGGAGGGTCCAGGCATGGAAGAAGCTAAGCTGCCTCATGCACAGGGCGTCATTTCATGAGGGCAGTAGCAGGAGAGAGGCGAAGAGGAGGGGAGGCAGCACCATTAGGTATTGGGAACAATTCGAACAAAACGTACCATGGAGAAGAGGGTCCAGGCGTGGAAGAAGCCAAGCTGCCTCATGCGTACGGCGTCATGCGATGATGGGAGCAACAGGAGGGAGGCGAGGAGGAGGCAGAAGCTGAAGGACGACATCTCGATGGACATGAGGTAGGAGCTGCGGCCCTTCACCTGTGGAAGACAAGAGAACGGGAAGAGGCAGAGAAGGAAAAAGAAAGAGAGAGGAGAGGAGGAGGCAGAAGCTGAAGGACGACATCTCGATGGTCATCAGGTAGGAGCTGCGGCCCTTCACCTGCGGGAGAGGAGAGCATGGGAAGTGGAAACGGGAGTGAGGGAGGCAGAGAGGGAGAGGCAGAGAGGGAGAGGGAAGAGGAGGAGCAGGCAGAAGCTGAAGGAGGACATCTCGATGGTCACCAGGTAGGAGCTGCGTCCCTTCACCTAGCACGAGAGGATGGAGAAGCATACAGAAGGAAGATGGGGGAGAGACATCATCAAAGGAGGAGGAGAAGCAGAAACCGTTAAAGAACGTGGTGACAATTCTTTACAGCATCTAGTGAGAACTTCCGCAGGCCTTCATCTGTGGGAACAAGAGCGAGTCGAGACGGCTTCGGCGGGGAATGGAAAAGGAGGAGGACAAACTCTACGAGGAGGAGGAGGTAGAAGCTGAGAAGACGTACCTGGGAGACCCACTGGCAGTACATAGACCCGAACCCAGACGTGACAGATGCTGCCAGCATGGGAATCGCTCCAAACAACACAGATGCTGCTAGACTCTCTGTCAACCCTCCACTCCCTCCTCCTCCACCTGCACTATCCTTGCCGCTCCCTGCTCCATCCTTCCCTCCCTTTCCGTCTGCCGTTCCCTCGCCCGCTCCCTCGCCCCCAAAGAGGGAGAGAGAGAGCTGCACATGGTCGGCGATGGAGAGGAGCACAGCTGCTACGAGCATGGCGAGCAGGGCCAGCACCTGCCGGCCAGACTGCTTCTGCCTGCAGAGAGAAATGCATGCGTTGGAGTGCAGCTGTTACATTAATCCATTGCGACTACCTTTTACATGGCAGATTGAATTTGTCTCCAGGGGTCAACACTTGAAGGATTCAGTGAGTGAATTTAAGGTCGCAGGTAAGGATAGCATGATGGAAGGTGTACGAACTTGAGGCACTTCAAGCATTTTTACCTGAAGAACTGGGGAAACACCTGCTCAAGTATCTGACAAATTCCAATGAGGATGTTGACAGAAATTCTGCTGACTACAAACATTGTTGAAAATGGGGAGAATAAGTGCTATTTTAGCTGGCGCGCTCCGACTGAAATTGATCTGGGGAAGAAGGCGGCACCAGAGAGAAGATCACCTGAGGAATATGAAGTTGAAGAGAGCGGTGAAGAGAAGCTTCGTCTGGGACAGCATGGCGAATGTGACCGGGTGTAGGTGGCGATAAGCGATGTTGATAAGCACGTTCTGCACCGTGTACACGAATGCTGGCACCATGGAGCCCTGTAGGAACTCCCTTATCCGCCAGCTGCGCCATAACCGCCAGCCTGACCCGTCAAGAAGCACCACAGCGAGAGAACAGATGATCTGCGTGGACATTGATATCAGCAAAGGACAAGGATAAGGGTTTAGGGTGAACAGAATGAACTGAGAAGTGATGCCAAAATGAATTCCTTTGATAAGGCTGAACAGAACTGAACTGAACTGAACCACAACACCAAAACATTACATGGAGAGAGCACAGTAAAACGCACTGGAGATCGCATAGGAGAAAGCACAGAAGGAAGCACCCGAATGAAGTGCAACCCACCTTGGCGACATCAACTGCCATGACTTGGCTGACTATGATGACGTCAGCGCTGGCTTGTGGGTGAGTAAGACATCAGAAGAACGAGGAGTGAGATGTTTCAGTTGATACAAGGCGGCAACTCGTGTGTTCATTCCATGACAAGCTGTACGACGTGAATGCCTCGAGTTTTACGACAATAATTATGCGTTAGGAGCTACCAGACAAGTACCTAAAGAAGCATCTTCACATAATCACATGGTGTGGGCAAAACGTAAGGCATTTCCAGAGTGGATATCCAGTCCAGATCTGATCTAACAATAGAAAGACAAGGAGGTCACCACTCGCGACGTGCCAAGAGCGGAAGGACAGCTACCTTAGGCACCTTCGCATGATCACAGGCTGGAGGCCGTACAGCGTCGCCAGCATGGACATCCAGATCCATCCATGGCTGCTCGTGGTTCCAGAACCTGCTGCCTTTTTCATTCTACTATTGTCATCGTTGTTTCCGTTTTCTCCACGCGAATGGAGATCAGATGATGCTGGTGTGAGAGCGGCACCTCCGGAGTCTTTGCGAATTCGGCGTTCCATTGTCGGGACTATTGAAGCATTCAGTGCGAAATCCAGAACAGGTTGAAACAACTAGAGACACGTGATCCAGTTCTTTCAAAGCTTATTCTCACGAAGGGCGCCTTGCGAACATGATGGTTCGACTTCTTATGGAGCAATAATCGATTTACTGATCAGAGATGGATTCGGATCGCCGTAATGAATAATAAAGCGATCAGCGTCAACGAAGCCACTATTCACTTATTCATGAACAGAAACATTGTCATCCACCAAGCTGTTCTCAGAAACACACCAACACAACGAAATGAGCGGCGCTCTCGAGGCGAACACTTGGTGACTCGCCCCGCTGCGAATTCAACAAGAGCTGTCCCCGATTGAATTCGAGATTATTCACACGTGAAAAAAGGTAACGGATTACACTTTAGAAATGATGGGGCATATAAGGTTTATGTAGGACAGTTTGTTTTTCATTGACGGATTTCTGTTGGGTGCTAGAGCTCGTTACAGGGTCTCCTTGGGCTCGTCGATTCCTCCCTTACCCAGCAGATCTCGAGGACGGACCGTTCAGATTACGCATCAGCTCCATGCTTTCAGGGCGGGTCCAGCGCGTTCCGTACATTACAGTTCATCCAGTACGGTAATCTGTACTGCGTCACGGTTCAAAACGGTGCAATTTTAAAACCGCTGTGCACCGCCTGATATCTTTTCAAACCACGACGAATGAACTGTATAGTACCTGAAAACGTACGCGCTGGACCCGCCCTCAGGGTCCAAACAAATTCCACTATCGCACATCTGCGTCTCCCAACCAGCACATCTGCCGTAGATTCTTTTCCTCGATTCCATCGCCATTGCTTTCCATTCACCAACCAACCCACTTTTCTCCATTTGCTGGTTGGGGCGTCGGAAGAGTACGGTTCGGTAAGATGTTATGTGTTGAAGAACGGTTGGAGGGTTATCATCCACATAACGAGCTGTGGATGTTATGTGTGAGGTTCTCCGTTCCCCTTCTCTATTCTCTGCAGATTCCAAATCCTTGGCATTGTCATGTAGGTTTGAGTAATCATCTCCACTAAGCCACCACTTCTCCATGTAGCATAATAAAGTCACAGCTGCATTCACTGCGTAAGCGCGTTTACCAGGAATATCTACTGCTAGCCTCCTTTTGATGCTAGCAGCTGTTAGAATCTAGCTCTCCCACAAAACCGGATCTGTTCGTGTACTGACAAATTAGCTTACAAATCGGAATGGCGTCTGTGATATTGCCATTTTGAGTTTTGTCCGCCAAAATACAGCGGTCGCCTGGTTCCTTGTACCGTGGTTGGTTTCTAGACACGAGGCCAGATGGCGGATCAAGAAGCTCCTGGTTGGCGGGAAAAGGCAGGGGCTTTCATCTCCTCTTCCTGTAAGTCTCCGTGTTTCCCGCATTTGAGGACGATGTCGATTGGTACGATCGCATACGGTTCGTCAGTGGAATCCTTCAAACGGGATCAGGCGAAACGCCTGGGATTGTTCTTTCATGAGCTTCGTCTTAAGCATTTGCGACTCCTTACAGTTATTTCTCGGTATTTTAACTCACACGTTGAAGGCCTTGCTCTGAGCAGCGAATCTTGGTATTGACGAAATCAGCTCGTTGCAGATACATTTCTCTTTTCAATCTTCCTTATCTCTTTCCCACGGGACATCGGAAACTCTTTCACAGCTTTCAAGCTGAAAGCAGCGGGATCAGCCGTCGCAGGCGCTGCCGGCGAAGCAGGATCCAAGGTGAAGACCTCATGGCAGCAGAACGTGCAGCCGAAAGTCGCAGAGGCGGCGACTCGCGCAGCCGTCGCAGCGGAAGGAGCGAAATCGCGAATGCACACCACGTGGGAGTCGACCAAGGAGAGCTGGAACACGAAAGTGCTTCCGAGAATGGAGGCCGGGCTGGAAACGACGGCTCGCGTAGCGGCTGACACGGGGTCGATGCTGAAGCAGGGGCTGATGGAGACGACGGAGAAAGTCAAGGCCAGTCGCGTGGGTCAACAGCTCACTGAGGTATGAAGAGCTTATTTGGTTGAGGTTTTTATAAATAGCGAAATCGTACAGGTGGGATTCTCTGGGTTACGAGATTTTCAAGAAGAGATGGGTGATCGTGTGGGTGGAAATGTTGTGAGAGTCCGAAAGTCAAGGATTGATGGAAGAGTTTTAGAAGTGGGAAACGGGGGGGTTGCAGTGGTATGAGCCTCGCACGGACTCTACCCGGAATCACAGAGGTCAGATTGTCAGTGTACGCTCAGCTTGGAGCATTTCTTAACAAAATTTACTGTACCAGATTCATTCCCCTAGCAATCAGATCCAAAACCGGACTGTGGAGTCTCGTAGCTGCCTGCTGCTCTCAGTATTCGCGACTATCTCAGTATTCTCGACTATCGTTATCTTTACGGTTACTGCCCTGCATTTCCAAGCTCACTCTCAGATCTTCTCGCGCTCTTTCTGACTGCCAGCATTCTTCTCCAGAAACTCAGCTCATTGCATGCATGCACATGCACCCATGCGTTGCGTGTTTATGTGTCCTGCTGGTGAACCTGTTGGTGCCCATGACCCCAGCTGACGGCGAATGGCATGGAGAGAAGCAAGGGGCTTCTCCAGAAGGTGGACTGGCGGAGGGTAAGCACTCACTCTGTCTCCATCCCTTCCCACCCCCCACCCCCCCTCCAAACCTCGAATCCCCTCTCCCTCGCTCCCCCGCTCGACTTCCTCTGTCGTGAACGCTAACACACACGCACATGCATGCTCACGTCCCTACCGTTGTCTTCCTCGAATTCTCTTTCTTGATTCCCTCATCGCGCCCTCTCCCAAATCGCCTCTTTCCTTCGCCACTGGCTGTCTGTTCTGACCTCACCCTCTCTTCTCTCACTTCCTCCCTCCCCGCCATTCGCACTTGTCACACACACGCACTCCCGTCTGTGCCAGGGCCGCCCCGGAGCTCCAGGTGACGCCACACTAGGTGACGCTTGCTTATTCTCTGAAGTGCTTGTTTTTCTTCTCCCTGCTTACACCCACGCTCTGCTGTCACTCCATTTATTTTTCTCGAATTCTTTTTCTACATTTCCCTTACGCCGTCTTGGCTCATGAAATAGCCTGCGTGTCAGCTCTTCTCGTTTTTGCAAGGACTCTATTTGCCTTCGATCTTGCCTCGCTTCTCCCCTTATTCTTTTCTTTCAGCTGTTCTCTATTCCTCTTTTATCACAATCTGCTACTCCTTTTCGACTAACTTCTCGCCATGCGTTTTCGTGTTGCTTTGCTTTGGTGCTTTACTCTACAGAATCCATTACCCATTAACATTGTATAGCATTCCCCTGAAGGTCTTTCTGAAGCGCCTTCTGAGGCAATTTTCAAGATTTTTTCAACAGCTCCCGCTGCCTTGTGACTCTGCTATCCCTTTGCTCCCTACACCCTCCGGCAGTGTTTGGTACACCCTTAGATGCATTCGCGAGCAGGCAGAGGGGCACAGCCGTGCCCTTCGTGGTCATCCAGTGCTGCAACTTCATCCTGCAAAACGGTGGGTTGTGCCGTGCTGTGCTGCATGATCTTCCAATGTCACAAGCTGTTACGAATGTTACCGTTGCATGTCTGTAGGTGTTTCCATCTTCCCTGAGTTTCGAGACGTCTCAAAGCTCAAGTGCGCCTGGTGGTTTGGCTCTCTCTATCCTTCATAATTTGAAACCGAGACATAATTTGGCAAAAAAACCCTGAACATTTTCACTTTTGATGCGCTATTTCGTCCTTTGTTCTTGTTCCACATGTGGTTACCACCAGGCTTGGTTACGGAGTACTTGTTCGAGTCGGAGAACGATTCACGAGTGGTCAAAGGACTCATGCACATGTTCGATACTGGTGAGCAAGGAGTGAGAAATGAGTGAACAATGAGTGAGCAATGAGTGAGCAAAAGATGACCAATGAGCGAGCAATGAGTGACCAATGAGTGAGCAATGAGTGAGCAATGAGTGAGCAGTAGTGAGCAAAGAGTGAACAATGAGTGAACAATGAGTGAGCAATAGTGAGCAAAGAGTGAACAACGAGTGACCAATGAGTGAGTGAAAGATGACCAATGAGCGAGCAATGAGTGAGCAAAAGGTGACCAATGAGCGAGCAATGAGTGAGCAAAAGGTGACCAATGAGCGAGCAATGAGTGAGCAAAAGGTGACCAATGAGCGAGCAATGAGTGAGCAAAAGGTGACCAATGAGCGAGCAATGAGTGAGCAAAAGGTGACCAATGAGCGAGCAATGAGTGAGCAAAAGGTGACCAATGAGCGAGCAATGAGTGAGCAAAAGGTGACCAATGAGCGAGCAATGAGTGAGCAAAAGGTGACCAATGAGCGAGCAATGAGTGAGCAAAAGGTGACCAATGAGCGAGCAATGAGTGAGCAAAAGGTGACCAATGAGCGAGCAATGAGTGAGCAAAAGGTGACCAATGAGCGAGCAATCACAGGGTTAAGCAAAGTCTGAGTCGACTCGGACGTATCGCTGGTGAGCAATGACAAAAATATGCGATAGGTCTGACTCGAAATTTCCATTCTGCATTTATTTATCTTTTTCCCTTCCCAAAACGGGAATTTCCATTCTGCATTTATTTATGTTTTTCCCTTCCCAAAACGGGAATTCCTCCTGCGTGTTAGTCGTGGCTCTCATGTATCCCCAGAGTCCCTCACGATCCCCTAGACAAGTATTCTACAGTCAATTTTCGAGCCAACCCCTACAGCACACCCTTTCTTAGAATTACTCATAAGTTGACCCCCATCATGCATCCTTCCAGCAATCTTAAGCCAAACTTCCACACCACTCCCCCGTCCCCCCTTCCCCGCTCTCCCGTCCCCCCACCTAACAGACCCCAACGCGGACATCCCTTCGGATACCAGCCCACTAGACGTGGGGCAGCTGCTGCTTGTCTATCTCAAGTGCCTCCCCGAGCCTCTCATGACCTTCTCCCTCTTCTCCGGGGTCGCCACTGTTGGCAGCAGCGATGTCACGCAGCTCAGGCGCCTGCTGCATACGCTACCTGCTGTGAATCTTGAGACGCTGCATGCTGTGCTGTGCTTGCTGTACCGAGTTAGCTTGCACGCTGATGTGAACAAGGTGAGGAGGGGTGGGGGGTTCTGAGGGTTAAGTGGGGGGTGGGTGTGTACTAGCAGCGACACGCAGCTCAGGCGCCTGCTGCACACGCTGCCGTCTGTGAACCTGGAAACGCTGCATGCTGTGCTGTGCCTGCTGTATCGGGTCAGCCTGCATCGTGAACAAGGTGAGAAGGGTTGGGGGGTTCTGAGGGTTGAGTGGGGGTTGGGTGTGTGCTAGCAGCGACGTCACGCAGCTCAGGCGCCTGCTGCACACGCTGCCGCCGGTGAATCTTGAGACTCTGCATTCTATGCTGTGCCTGCTGTATGGGGTCAGCCTGCATGCCGATGTGAACACGGTGAGGGGTGGAGTGAGGAGGTTTTGAGGGTTGGTTGTAGGTTGGGGTGCTAGTCTCCATGTTGCAGCAAATATAACGCCTCTTAAAGCACTCCAAAAAGCATTTTCCCACTCCCCCCCTCCCTACACTCTCCCGTTCCCCCAGATGGACGCTCAAAGCCTAGCAGCCGAATTCGCCCCTGTCCTGCTCTGGCCGCGACCAGAAGTCCCCCCGTCCCCCTCCCCGTCCCCCTCCCCCTCCCCCCACGCCTCCTCCGCCTCTGGCCCCTTCGACTCCTCGCCTTCCTCCAAGCCCCCTTCCTCAACTGCCCGCTCCCCCTCCCTCTCCTCCTTAAGTCTAGACGAAACCAGGGAAGGCGCAGGAGCAGGTGCAGCAGCAGCAGCAGGGGATGGGGGGGACGGCAGCAGAGGGATGGATAGCAGCAGCATTAGCAAGAGCACGGGAGGTGTTGGTGGTGGTGGTGGTAGTGCGAGAGTGAGTGACGATGTGCCTAGTCTGATGGCCCCCTCCTCTCCTCCTGCATTGACTCCCAAGGGCAGTGCTGCCTCTGCCTCTGTTGGTGGTGGTGCTGCTGCTGGTGGTGATGGTGTGGGTGGTGCGGATGGTATGGCTAGTCCTGCGATGAGGAGGGCTCAGAGTGAGAAGGGAATGAGGTTGGGGGATGGAGTGAGTGCTGCTACCGCTGCTGCTGATGGGCCAGCAGTCGTGAAGGCAAATGGAGAATCGTCTGTTCCTGGTGAGCTGGCACATATTCCACTGCTCTGGCTTATTCGCTGCTTATCCACTGTTTGTTGTGTATGTGCGCGTGAGAGACTGTGTCTTGGGGTGGGGTAACCTCAAATCAACGGCAAGCATTTTTATCAAGTGTCTTGAATACTCGGTGACACTTCATTCGGAGTTGGACTCGTACCTTGATTTCTCTGGTGTGGGTGTGCATTTGGTGTGTCTACTGTGGGACTGCGTGCCTGGCGTGGCATGACAGAGTGGGAACCATCTTCCTGCCTTCTGCCCATTTTTCCAAGGGTCTTACTGTGTGCATATCTGTGCATGATCTTATTTGTGCCTCTGTAATGGCTAGTGCATGTCTCTTGGTCTCTTACAGTGCATCTGTGTATTGGCTGGTGTGCAGAGATCCCTTTGGAAGAGGAGCCAACACAAGCACAAACAGCAATAGTGGAAGCAATCATGGTGCTTATAGATAGCCATGAATCCATCTTCTCGCATAATCCCGGTGGCCCTATTCTCCTTCCCGTCCCGTCGTAAGCACAAGAAATGTTCCAGTGTCAAGTTCACATTTATGTGTACCGGTACCAGTTTAGTACAGTGGGCTGGGCGTATGCTCGTATAGAATGAGATCCAGGTAGGCTTAGCTGTGTGTTTAGTGTGCCTATTTATGAGATCATTATCACGTGCAAACATTTCAAGAGTGTTTCACTCCCTCTAGATGTAGGAGTCCTGACTGATGCTTGGCTTGCTCTCTGCGTGGCAGCAAATTTGTGAAACATTTTGTGAAAAATGACATTGTAAATGCAGATTTCTTCGCTCAATGTTGAATCTAGCAAATACACGGTAGTGGAGCTGTTCATACAGAAGACACCAAATGTTGTCTGCACTGCGCTTGCTAATATACGAGCTGAGGAGAATTTTGCTCAATCCCGAGGAATCGCTCTTCGTTTTATTATCGCCACGTGGCCTGCCTATGATCGCGGGAACCGCGATCTGTTTTATCGTTCCCACACATTTCAAATTTAATTTAGTTAAATTTAGTGGGTCACATGAACTGCGCTGGCCGCGGGCAAAAATAAAAGCCATTCCGGCCTGCATGCATTTGGGAGGCATCAACCCTAAACATGTGTGAGCTGAGGCACTACTGAGCCGAGTCCACCCATTCAACATTGTTCAGATTTTCAACATTGTCGGTCTGTAGATTATTCGGCATTGTTGTTTACGCCATTGCCGGTAATGGCGGTGGCTCACATTCCAACGTGCGTAATTCGGGCAGATGCAACGAGTTTTAGGACAGTTGCACGAAATAGTAAGCCCGCGGGTGCCTCTACGATGGTGCAAAAGCAGTGTATGATGAATCGCGCGAGTGTCTGTCGCAGGATGTCGTCCTCGTTCGTAGGAGCACCGTTAACAAGAATAGCTCCTTCCGCTGCCTCCGCTGTCGACCTTTCCCCGCGTGACAAGCTCCGGAGGCGAAGGCGCCTGTCGGTTTCTGCCGCGTGGCTCGAATGCAAGTAAGTGATGACGGCTTCGAGTCGACCACAGGAATATCTTACATGGTAACGGATGCGACACTGCGATATACTGCGACGTTCGGCGACAAAACTGCGATACATGCCTTCATGTATGCATTTGCTTGTCAGCATTTGCTGTCGATATTTCTGTTCTTTCATCTACACGTACTCTTCGTTTGTACCTCCTTCTGACCATCACATTTTTATCCCACGCTCCACACTCGTTCGTTGCCGTACGTGCTCACAAACGGTCGCTCGTGGATCCACGTGGCGTCAGAGCAGTGGCTGACGCGCCCAACATTCCCCTCTCATTGGCCTACGACCTCTGGTCAGATCGCGAGCTCGTTCCCAACTGGATGCCATGGATCACCTCGGTTAAGGTGGGTTGAGAGCGGTGAAGGTGTCGCTGACTCCCTGTCTGAGGAGTCCCTGCCACCACATGAAACCCTCAAAGACATGATTTCGTTATTATCACTATTCCATTGTAGCACACCATTTCTTTCCATGTTACAGTACGTGTCATGCTATTCATGCCACGATTTCCCGTATCAGATACACACATGCCAGCTCACATGTTACCTCTGCCACGTCATCAGGTGCTCCAAGAGACCCCGGAGTTCTCCGAGTGGACCCTCAAATACACTGCATTTGGACGCGACCTGGAGTTCTCGTGGCTCTCCAAGCAACTCACTGTAAGCAGATTCAGTACAAGTTCAGCTGTTTCATTCAATCCGCCTCTTCCCCCAGACTCCCCTGTCCCTGTGCATTCCGCAGACCACTTTAAATATGCAGAATCTTATGAGTCCTTCTCAACCAGAATGTTTCCTCTTTCTTGCTTCTCCCATTCCCCTGTCCCTGTTTATACCCCCAGCCCATCGCAAATCAGAAGATTCAGTGGCGCTCGGTAGATGGGGTTCCTAACCGGTAATGTGTTTTTGAATCCCACACTTTACCTGCTAGGAACCACATCCATCCACTGAGGAATGCATGTGAGCCTCCTGAGGGTTGCTTGTTAGAGATGCATCTCACAAAGCTACTTAACCTCTTCTATTGCATTGAAGTCCATCCTATCCTGTCCCTAGCAGGACATGCATTGCAGTGCAATAGCACATGCATTGCATTAGTAAAAGAAATACACGGTAGGCAAGAGAGGACCATGCTCCACCTTCGCGCATTGGCATCATTCCCAACCATGTTGCCATCCTGTTCCAGGCGCTCCTTACCACTACCGCTGCCCTCCTGCATTTTCCTTCCAGCATTCTCTACATTCTCCCAGACTTCCCAAATACGACTAAACGTTCACTGAGCTCCTTGCATCCTCTACCGTCTCACCTCGTTCCCTCTTCATCTCCTCACATCCTCTATTTCTAACACCACCACCACCACCACCACCATTGTTGCAGAGGAGCCGTACGGTTCTTCCCCAGAGGGGCCAATGGCTGTAAGGTGGAGGTGAGAAGGGGATATGAGGGAGATTGCTGTGCTGGGTGCCATTGTTCTGTAACATTGCTAGGTGTCGCTGCTGGGTGTCACTGCTGGGTGTCACTGCAATTCACATCTTGGATCTGCTTTTCTGTCTCACTCTTACAGATGACTCTCACCTACCAGTGCCCAGACATCCTCGTCCCTGTTCTTGCGGTACGTTCTTCGCATATGCATTGTAATCTAAACCGATGTGAGCTCTAAGTGTATAAACGGTTTATCAACTCATCATTTGGGGCTGATGGTCCATTCTCCCATCCATCCCTTTTGCAGAGCCTAAATCCTTTAGTGGAGAGCATTATTCAGGCAGATATGGACCGTTTTGTGGAATACGCCACTAAGATGAAAGACAACCGACCCGTGTCCTGAGTGTGAACAGAAACCAATTGAGGGATGTGTGCGCGCTTTGCACATACGAATATGTAGTGTTGAAATACAGGATTCGTGGTAGGGGACAAAAAGAAGTATGAGCTTCCTCAACCTGGCAAAGTTTTCAACATTATGTACTGCATATAAACTATGACAAGAAAAATCTATCACTGGTGAAATCACTTACGTGCTTGTTCTACACAACTGAACCTCTATATGAAGGTGCTAGAATGTATACCGAAGGTGCTGTTTGTTACGCGTCTCTCTTTTTGCTTATACTACGAGTCGCGCTGGCGTGGCACGAAGCTGAGTGGCGGGAAGACTCGCCAGGCGCGGCGGCCCACACGGCCCAGACCTCCCGCCTGCATCGCCCAAAACCTTCGCTGCTATTGGCTGTCACCAAGTCACGAAGTTCTGCGCCAGATGTACTGTGACGGGCGGACGCACATTTCCCCACTCGGCTCCGCGTCGGGCACGTCCAGTGTACACAGCACGAACAGGGAGGAACCGTGGATCACTGTGCAAGCAAGATTTCGTCAAACGAAAAGAACATATTGTTCGCGACAAAAAGCAGGTAACACCGCGAAATTCATGCATGTCTTCGCGACTCGATTTTCTGCTCATTGCTGTTGGCGTCACCCCGTCAGTCACCCAAACTTGGGCGAGATTTGACAGCAGAGGCGACTCGCTTTCATGGCTCCACCACTTCCCCTTCCACACGAGCTTTAGCTCCGGCGCCCGTCATTCCGCAACGAGATACGTGAAGCGTGTTAGACGCGAGTCATCGTGCGATTAGGGTTAGCTTGACCAGGAGCGTGACGGTGACGGGGAGACTGTGAGGCACGGAAGGAGGTTGGTGACGTCAGGTAAGGATAGGGAAAATTTCTCCAGACGTCTCTAGACTGCCTTGAACGGCTGTAAGGATCACATCTCGCTAGCGGAACCCTTACCAGCGCTTCGTAGCCAGCCCTGGGAAACGAGATAGACTGCGGGTTCCGGCTTATCCAAGCACGCACAAGTATTATCTAGAAGGTTTACTTCCTAGGCGGGCTTCGTTGAGCAGCAGCTGAGGTTAAGCGAGAAGCAGGTTTCGTTTCGTGGATCCACTGAACAAGCAAGACTGGATCGTGTGGTCGGTTGAGAGCGTCCATTGTTGGTGGATAGTGAACTAAAGTTAAGATTGAAGTAATAGCACAGGACTCGTTTACCTTGGATTATTAACCACGTAGCTTGTCAAGTTCGCAGAATTCTCCTGCCGGCCCAACTACCTTTTGTAGGTTCCCTCTTTATTTCTTAGAGCAGAATCCCTTACTCTCAAGGCACTATGTCGGGTGGCTTAGAAGCCGCCGCCGCCGAAAGCGGCGGTAACGCCACGTCAGAGGACTCCGCGAAGAACACGGCCGCGAATGGCGCAGCAGCCGTCGTGACAGACGCGATAGCCGGCGCGAAAGACGCGGGCGGTGAGGCGCTCAAGTGGCGCATCGACGTGGAGGATTACGAGTCGGAGGACGGCAGCAGCGTCGTCGGTAGCGTGCTTGAGAGCCTGCCGGCCAGCATCCCGGAATACCCGGCGGGAGGTGCGCGGGAGGGGGAGGAGGACGATGACGACAAGAACGACGACGAGATCTCGGTGCGTTCTCATTGGTTGGTGTGAAACAGCAATCGTTAATCCCCCACTCCTATCAATCCCAGTTTCTTCCCCCACTCCTCTCCCCTTCCCCCCCCTCAACCTTCCCACCCTTCCCGCCCGTTTTCCTTCCTTCCCACCCGGAACACCCAATCATGACCGCGCCCCTTCATTTCCGCCTCCCCTCCGCAGTTCATTGGCGGCATGCGCCCTCCCGTCGTTGGCTCCGCGGGTCTTCCGCCGCAGAATCCCGTCCTGATGGAGCGGTCCGCCAAGCCCGCGCCGCCCGCGCCCGCAACAATAGCTGCGCGGGAGCCGCTGGGAATGGCGCGCGCGCAGTCCATGGCCCCGCCCGCCGCGGCCAGCATGGTTTCCGTGGAAGACTTGAGCACTGCTCAGGCGGAAGTTGGACGGCTGTTTGCGGCGCTGAAAGAGGCGCGCGGAAGGCGCGCTGATGCGCCAGCGGAGCAGGAGATCAATGCGGCGGAGGTCGCGCGTCTGCAAGCGGCGCTGAAGGACGCGCGCGCAAAGGTTGCGCAGATAGA